CCCCCGCCTCGAGCCACGCGGCCACGTCGCCCTCCAACGCAGAAACAAAGGCCAGGTCCGCCTCGTCTGTGACCTCCACCTTGGGCTGAGAGGAGAACTGGTCCGACGCTCCCCGCTCACGGGCGCGCTCGACCTGCGTTTGGGGGAGGGGGGTTCGATTGCACGGGGCCAGCCGCAAAGGGGGGAGGCGTGGGGGAAGGGATGGGCGGACGCGTGCGGGGTCGAGGGCGGGGTGTCGAGGGCGGCTGGATGCGGCCGGGCATGCTGGCCTCGCGCGCTCGTTGCGCCTCCCTGTGGCGACAGGGAGGCGCCTGCGTCTAGCGCTTTGGCCCGGGGCGGGGCTCCAAAAGTGGGGGCGCATCGCCGCCCGTCCAATCCTCCACACTCCTTCACAAGACAACACACGCATACACCCCGTTGCAGGGCGCTTGATGAGGGGGCTTGGGTGTGAGAAGTGCACGTGCACACCTGAGCGAGCACGTTGTCCCTCTGGCGGCTGGCCATGAAGGGGATGCCCTGGCCAATGCATTTGTTGAAGTCAAAGCCCTGGGGTGACACAGGGGTTTGGGTGGCCGCACAAGGTGGGTTGCGGGGAGGTAGTTAACAAGGGAAGAGTGAGGTAAAGTGGTGAGGTGAAGTGGTAAGGCCCGCCCATGATGGCGGAGGGAGCAACTGGACGGCGGACTCTTGGTGGGGGCACTGTGAGAAGTGCCCGTGTGTGTCGCTCGGTTGCGGTTCCGCCCGAGCATCGGGGTGATCCCGTCTTGGCCGGCAGCATGCCGGTGGGCGCTGGCTGCCGGCGCCAGCACCCATACGCGATGCGGCCACCCCTTGGCGGCAGCCGCCCCTCTCCCAGCAGCAGGCTGGTGTGTGCGCAGGGAGCACGCGCCTGCTCGCTCAGGAAGGCCATGCTGCCAGCTTCGCAGGTGAAGCGCCGGTTGGCCACGGCCTCGGGCACCAGGGACCCCAGGCTGCTGGGCACGGGCTGAAGGGGGGGGGGGGAGGGTGCAGGCAAGAGTCTAGATCATTGTAGGGCTGATGCACAAAACCTCACAGCGTGCGCCACAGTGTCACGCAAACCTCCTCATGCCATCGTCCCAACTGCAGGCCCCTGCCATAAAACTTGCCCAACAACAGATTCCCTGCAATTGGAGCCTCACCTGCGGGAAGATCCAGAAGTTAAAGGTGCGCGCCACGTACGCCTCGCGCCCGCCGCCCTCGCCGCCGCTGCCGCCTGGCACGTGCTCGAAGCACGAGAGGCCATACTGGGTGATCAGGAAAGCCTTGGATGACTCCTTCATCTTCTCATACCTGGCAGAGCATGGAGTGGAGCAGCACAGGAGGTGTTGCGGCCGAGTGGGGGCGGGGAGATACAAGGCGGGACGGAGGGATGGGGACAACAATCGCCGGTCCGTGGAGCCTGCGGCGTAGATCTATGCTTGCACTTTGCGTAGGCCTCGCGGCAGCACCCTGCTGCCCCGCACCCCTGCTGCATGCGAACGGCTCCCTGCAGCCAAGGCGCGACATTGCGCAAGCGGCCGGGGGACACCCCACACACCGCGCATGTGGCCACTATTCACAACACACCGTCCTGTACAACCCTCTACACAGGGCGAAGACTGCCGCGCAACCCCTTCACCCATTGCATACCTCCACCCCGCTCCACCCTGCAAACCACCTCGATCCATGCCGCACCCAATCACCCTCTCCTCAAGCACACGCACGCACGCGCGCACACACACACACACCCACACGCGCGCCCACTCACTGACATATACCCGCACCTGTCCTGCACGTCGTCCAAGTACTCGCTCCTGGCCTGCTCCAGAAACAGGCCCGTCATCTCGCAGTCCAGGGCAAAAAATTCACAGCGCTCCAGAGCGTCCGCAACGGTAGGCAGGACCTAGGGACGGTATGTGTACATGTTTGTGCGCATGCGCATGAGCATGTGCATGTGCATGAGCATGTGCATGTACATGTGTGTGTGTGTGTGTGTGCATGTATATGTGAGCTTGTGCTAGCATCCATGCCTGGGTCTGTGCAGGCTTTCGCGAGCGCGGACAGCCTCTCTGCATGCTTGTGAGAGGTGCCTGAGATGGACGCATGGGGATGGTTGCATGCAAATGTGCGGTGCCGCGTTTTCTAAGGTGTGGCATGCTGCGCTGCAAGGCGCATGCGCACTCGATTCCCATGCGAAGCACCAGCACTGTCGAAACGCCCGGCAGTGGACAGCAGCACAAGCTTCGCCACCGAGTGACATGCCCAGGGTCAAATGCCCAGGCACCGCCGCTGCTCGGAGGATCTTTGGGCGTGCCCCTGACCAGCCGCGCTGGTCCACTGCCCCCCCCTACCCCCCGCCCTGCGCCAATGCCCGCAGCCCCAAGGACCTGGGCAAAATTGTGGCGCGTCACATCAACATTGACACCTTGGGCTCCCTCCACATCCGGGGCTGCCTCCGCCTTCAGGGTTCCCTCCCCAGCCGCGACAGCAGCTGTTGCGCCATTGGCGCCGCCACGCGTAGACACCATGCTGGGTGCGCGCAACGGCAGGTGCTGGCGCGCGGCGGCCGTTGGCAGCAGCAAGTGGCGCCGCACGAAGCCGGGAACCCGCCCTTGCAGCGGAGCTGATACGCCCTGCTGCCTCCTCAACAGTGTTTTGCTATGAGCAAGCAGCTGTAGCGAGCCCCTAAGCATGGGGCCGGCAACTTGTCGCAAGATCTAATACGTGAGCTACACGCGGAAGGCATGAAAAGGGATCTACCGCAATTTTTGGTGACTGGTGTGTGCGCACCGACTGTTTTGGGCTGCTGACTGGCTGCTGGCGGACTGCAGTGACACCGGCACCCACACCAGCGTGGCTGCGGCGGCCACCAGTGCCAAGACGATTTTGAGCAGCGTCAAGCGTGATGACGAGCAGTTGTGCTGGAAGGTGCGCTATACTCTGACGAGCTACAATCAACCACACACACAACACCTGCACTGTACGGCCCATGCTGCTGTCCTGGCGCTCAGTGCTGGCCCACGCTTCGGCCACGAACCTTTACAGCTTGCCGCAGCACGCGCCCGCTGCAAGTCATGCGTATGTACACCGCACCCTCAGGGCGCCCCCTCTACCGCGGTGCGACCCAGCCGCGGCCCGCCCTCGCGTCACGCGCGCCGGCGCGTCACATGGTCGTACAGCACCACCTGCGTGTACTCATCCGTCGCCAGCTCGCTGCGGCTGCTGTTGTCGCCGGGGGGCGACCTGGGGTCGACGTCGATGACCTTGCGGTCGCGCTTGCTCTTGAACATCACGCCGTGCACGTCCTCCGCCATCACCTGCGGGGCGGCGCGGACGACCAAATCAACGGTGCTGGCTGCGTACGCATCGGGCGCGCATGGGGCACAGCATGGAGGCTACACATGGTTCCTGCTGACCCGCTGAGCCACGGCAAGCAAGGACAGCATGAGCAAACCCTTGCACCAGCAGGGACCTGCCTGGAAGTTTGGCGTCGGGTTTGCGGTGGCCAGGTGGGTCTCCCAGTTGTAAAAGCTGAGGTCTGTGGGGCGGGGCATCAGCCGCTTCTTTCGCGCAAAGATGGCCTCCATGCCGCCACCGCCGTCTGCAGCAAGGCGGTGGCCGTAGTCAATATAGCCGCTAACCTGCAGTGTGTGCGCATGCGCGCGCATGTGTGCGTACGTACGTGTGTGCGTGCAAGTAGGCGGGCGGCGTCATTTACAGATGCAGGCCTCTGGCCGTGTGCAAGTGCGATGTTAACTGGTGCACATACCGTACAGTATTGAGCACCCGCTGGTCATAAGTGACTTTCGATGACGAGCGGTTCTGCCCACTGTGCGTGTGCGCACGCTCTTGCCAATATGTGGCGTGCAGCCCCACCGCACCTCCTGGCCGCGCGCGTTGCGGTCACGGATGAAGATGATGGTGCAGAGCTTGCCGTTGCGCACTGCTTCCTCCCGGTCGCGCAGAGCCTGGGGTAAGGCGTGCGTCGTGCGGGTCGACAGAAGGTGGAGTGACAGGGTGGTGGGTTGGGGGAGGGTGCGGCGTGCCGTCAGCGAGCGCGCACACGTGCCGGGACCTGTGCACAACTTTACGTGTTTGCATACATCCACGCCCACAATGGCTGTGCAGCCTGCAGGTCTGTCTGTGCCTCGATCAGAGTCCGCACGGTTCCTTTCACCCCGCACCTGCAGCAGCGGGCAGCCCGTCAGGTCCTTGCCCTGGCTTGCCAGCTTTTTCGGCTTCCGGTTGAGCCGCGCCTCGCGCACTGCCTCCGCCGCCGCCTTGCGCTGCTCAAACTCCTCCCGCTTGATCACCTCACCGTTGCCTCGGATGCTGGGCAAGAGGACCAAGGGCGGTCAGGGTGCAGGGGCTGCTCACCCGCCAGCTTGCACCTCGGCAGCAAGCCAATCTCCAGAAAGCAATTTCGTTGTTGCCATGCTGCCTGCAAAAACGCTGCACGTGCATCTATTGCCTAGTACGCAATGTCCCCAGCTGCCTGGCTTGTGCGTGAACATGCGACGATGCGCACACTCGCAGGCCTGTGCGTACCCGAGCTCCACGAGCTGCCGCGCCAGTTCGATGTTTTCGAGGTAATACATGTCTGTCCCATTTATCTGGCTGTCCAAATAGTCCTCGTACCTGTGCAGCAAAGCAGCGTCGCAGAGCTTCAGGTGACTGAGGGCAAAACCATGGATGCCTGGACTGGTGGTACCATGGGGTTGGCCGACACCTCCACACAACACGTGCCAGCTTACGGGCATTCATGGCCCTGCAGTTCGCTGAGGCCTTGCATGGTCTCAATGCAGGTTAATGCATTTGATTGCGCACGTTTCGAACTCCTCTGCTATGGGGTCATAGCCAGGCGCCTTGTCAGGGTCCATGTTGCTGCTGCTGCTGCTGCTGCTGCTGCTGCTGCTGCTGCTGCTGCTGCTGCTGCTGCTGCTGGCGCTGCTGCTGGCGCTG